GAGGTGGCAATGTTTGACTTAATGACTTTGATACCAAATCAGAGTTTCCTCCCATTCATTTTTTTTTTTCATTTATTCGAATGGAACTCTCTTGTTACTAAGAAAGGATCCAAATTCATTCTATAGATATATAGTTCTTGAATAAAATTGATGATCATTTTAGAATTGCAAATGAAACTGAGATTTGTTTGATTTTATCTAACGAAGATCCGCTCATTTGGTCTAAAACTTATTTAAACTAATGAGACCCGAGAAAATGAGACCAGAGTGATATTATTTTGGTTGGGTTTCCCATATGTCCTTGTTTTATTTAGTACTCGTTCGGTCCCTATGTAAAAGTATGAATTGGTTTTCCACACATTTTAAGACAGTGGTGTTGATTGGTACTGTTTGTCACTGTTTAGACATTGTTTTAACACCGTTTTGTACTGTTTTGTTGCCAATAAAAGGAAAGAAGATTTTTTATTCAAAGACAACCCGAAAAGGAAACATATTTTTTTATTTAGGATCAGAAGGAGTAATATACTTGACACATGCATTGCCGTGTCATATAGGAGAAAACCTATAAACGTGTTTTATCTCAAAATAATTTTCAATTTTACTTTTCTGGGCTAACATAAATTAATTTTGTTCTCTGATTTTGAGAGTCCACTCCCCGAAATGTAGCTTTTGTTCGGGTTTTTGTTCCCGTTTCTAAAAACTAGATTTTTTACCCGTGCGTTGCACGGGATGCATATGTTATATGTTTAACCATGTCATTAGATGATATTGGAAATTTAATGAATAGTTTAACTACCTCGGATTTACATATGTTCAGGGGCGTAGATAGGGGTGGGCCAGACCTGGCCCAGTCCAAATTTTAAAAATGTCTTTATTTTTAGTGTAAAAAATTTCGTGTAAAAACATTTTCAAAAATATTCTTTGTACCAGTCCAGTCTGGCCCAGTGTGTTGGCTCCGCCCCTACATATGTTAAAAATTTGGAATGAATTTTTCAGAGCACAAAGTTGGATAAAGTTGGGATCACTTCGTAATAATAAAAATACTTTTCATTAGATATATAAAAATTTTGTTACGTATTTGTGTTTATAAAATATACTTACTCTGTCCCACTAACATTGGGACATGAGGAGGTGACACGGTTATTAAGAAAAGTAAGTTTATGTGATTGATATTGAATTGATAAAGTCAAAATGATTTGGCCACACAAATTTTACCAAATTTGGTAGGAGACAATTTTAGTGGGACTCCCTGAAAAGGAAAAATGGGACAATCTTAGCTGGACGGAGGGAGCAATAACAAATGATTCATGCAATTTATTAGGAACACTAAAAATGATAGTATAACTTTAAAAATCAAAATTTTCACATTATAATTACTAATTGCTAACTATTAATTTACATATTATTGTTTAGAAAAAATGAGCATGAAATCATTAAATATGGAAACGCAAGCTACACCTTGTTATTTTATATTGTTATAGAAGACTATGTTAATTAATAATATAACTATTACTGTACTGCAAGACAATAACAATGATGTTTTTAATTAGACTGAAGTTTTATGATCGGGTCCGCTTAAGTTTGGTTTGATGACCTAAACTGATCTGGTCTGGTAAGTGTCGGATGTATGTATAATTTACTAACTTATTCTGATCCGATCACGTCTATTGTATTTAAATTTGATCTGATTTGGTGTAGTTTCTTTTAATCTGGTGTGGTCTAGCTTATAATTGAAAACATTCAAATCAAAATATTGTAAACGTTCTGATTTTTTTCTTTGCGTTAAGTGAAGTCCCGCCAATTATGTATCACTATTATTATATTATTATATTATAATAAAAATAATAATTATTATCTATCATCATCATCATTATAGATTAATCTGAATTGAAAATATTCCAATTACTCTAATATTCATGTAACTCTTATTTTTTAATGGGTTTGAGGCATTAAATGTCTAATTGGAGGGAAAAACAATGTGTCACACCTTGTTACTTTATATTATTATAGATTTATATTATTATAGATATACTCCGTAACTTTTATAACTATCACTAATTCGAGCATTATCAGTTAATCTCATAAATTATTTTCAAATTGAGATTTAGGGAGCACCTAACTAAAAATAGTTCACTAAAAATTAAATATTGCCGGCCTCTGTTTCGAAAAGGTTGGTCAAATTTCCTTTTTGGATGTCCCAAAATTTTTTTCATTTCCATTTAAAGTAAGGAATATGTGGATAAAGTTAATTCTTTTTTTTTTTTTGCACAAATTTCAACCACACAGTTTTTACTTTATTAATCTACGTGAAAGTCAATTTTTGCCAACCTTTTCGGGATAGAGGGAGTATGTTCATAATGATACGACTTATTCCGCGCATGTGACTTTTGCAGCCCAACATAATTAGGAAGTGTTTGCAAGGACTTCTACTTTTAAGAGTTTTTAAAAATGATTATTAATGAAAGTCAGAAAATGTATGAAAAGAAAAGTCATTTTTGAAAACTGAATGTCAAAATGTTTGAAAAAAATTGTCTTTTGGTGTAATACAAAATTGAAAATCATTTAAAAGCATCACTCTTGTATTAACGTTGTACCTATAACTATTTTCCCAAAAAAAAAACGTTTTACCTATAACTATTTAAAAATAAGTATAATTTGTTGTTTGAAATCACTTTTTTTTTAGTTTTTTTCACTAAAAAAAAGCACAAAAATGCTTCTTTAAGCACCTACAAAAACTCCTTTAGAAAAATCGCGATATGCTGCTCTGCTTAAAAACGGCCTTTACTCCCATAGTAAATGACTCCAAGTCTCCAACATACCTTGAGAGTTGAGATCATCCTAGAATCAGTAAGAAATTTCTCATCAGCTGGTGGATGCAAGAATATGATAGTGACCTGACCTCCATCTGCAAATCTCACTTTTACTAACCTATTAACAACAGGGCATCAAAGTTCTCCTTTCAATTTCCTGAGAGAGATAGAGAGATGTCAAGGAGATCTGGGAATTGCTTAAGGTGCTGCTTGGTGATCTTTGCTGTGGTCTCAGCTCTATGTGTATCTGGGCCTGCTCTTTACTGGAAATTCAAGAAAGCTCTAAAGCTCAAAGCTTATTGTACTCCTTGCAAATGTGACTGCTCTCCACCACTTTCCATTCTAGATGTTGCTCCTGGTATAGTTCTTCTCCCCCCCCCCCCCCCCCCCTCTCGCGCAACTAAAGATCCAGTTTTTATTTGTACTGTATCACTTTTAGTTTCTGGGTAGTTTCCAAAATTTAATCTTTTATACATTTGTTATTAGATTTTGCTTCTCTGGGTTCGAGGTACTTGGTTTGCTAGTTGTTCTTTACTGCGTATTACTAGAATTTAGATATTTATGATCTAAAGATTGATTCTTTAGGTCTCTGTGTTGCTCCAAGAGATCAAGATTCAACTTATATGCCCATGCTATTATATTATGTGCCTTAGGTAGCTATTTTGTTATTTTGATATGGGCCATATGGCAGGAAGATTTATTTTCTTTCCAAATATGACAGGATGTATTATTGTTTTATGAATATCAACTGTTTTGGTATGATATGATATCTTTCAATAAAGCCAAATTACTAAAAATAACTATAAGTTGACTTTAATCAAGGGATTTGCAAATATGATGTTCGAGCTAAGTTCCCTAGCTTGCATCAAATGTAAAGCGGATTAGTGTTTTTTTGATAAGCCCTATTTCTGCTAATCAGTAATCATGTGTGTTATTCGGTGAACTAGTTTTGAGAAGTTTTTTAATCCGAAATTTACCAGAGACTATAATGTAGTACATTCCCCTACATTCGACTACTTAGACTCATGTGACTAAGCATATATATTGATACCAAAATACACCTCACTACCCCAAATGACATAACTAAAAACACTTACTGCCTTCTGCCCGATTCAACCACATCGACATCCAAATACACTATCTTCTTCCATTAGCATCATTGTCCACTATTGGACGCTCCCTGCATTTTGCCATTGTTGTCACTGCCTACTATACAAGACTATCTCTCTCCTCCATTATTACATCACTGCCCACCTCTGCAAACTAATTTCTTTTGCCGCAGTTCTATGCGGCAATCATCATCATCATAACTGAGAATCTTACTTATCATAGACACATTTCCTCTTATCACCTTCACTGTACATAAATGCATTGCCAATCATCTTCTGCCATTCATTCTCCCTTAAGAAGTATAGAGCAGAAGAAATTCAAGAAGAACATCATGGTGAGCTATCGTCTTCATTGACCATAAACACTTTCCACAATCATCATCTTCACTGCACATTATACACTGTCATCCATCATTTTCATTCATGTGAAAATGTTGGTACTTGGTAGTCATGGGCGGTGATAAAAGAGATAGTTGACGAAGAAGAAGAAAAAGAATGACATCCATGAAGAAGCAGACATATTTAAAAGGATGTCGCTATTGGGAATGAGAGGGGCGTGTGACATCACAAGCTGGTGGGAGAAAACCTCCCTTGAGCACATGAGTTATCAGGTTATAAGGGCATTTTAGTCCATTAAAAATAATTAATTATATTTACTTAAAAGCATTCTTTAAATAATACCGAATGCGTATTACTTCGGGACTAGAAACAAAGTGATCATACGTAGGGGAACTTGATATGTTATAGTCACATATATAATAATTTTAACATTTTATTTTGATTTGGTGTTCAATTCTGCTTCTGAACTTGCCACATTTTGACTTCATGGTACTTGCTTCTTAACTATGAAATAAACTTTTAGAGCAAAATATAAAATAATATGAAAGATCCAAAAATAACTTGTCCAATAGTCTAGCCGCCTAGGTTTGTCTAACTTTAAGGAGTCCAAAATTCTATTGATCTCTCAATACATCTTAAACAAAAATGTCCTTATTGATAGTTAATAAATCGATTGAAAATTCTAACAGTGACATTTAAGTCTCTGATTCCAAAATCGACCACAGCTCTGAAATTTGTAATTGATGAACTCCCTTTATTTATTGAAAATTGGCCCATTTTATAATAAATAAGGGGTAAGGTATAACATTATCCATCCATCCTAAAACATAGACATGTTTTAAAAAGGTAAGAAGTTGTCAACAAATCAAATATGATAATTTTAGTTAAACCAACACGTACACTGAAAATTATGTGCCATTGGTGAGATTAATGAGAGCCGTAACTTGCCAAAAAAATGAAGAAGTGGTCTATCGTTTAAGTCTGGCTCCAATACAGACAACAGAGGTAGTATTTATTCTTTTATCTGATTGATTCAATGGCTTAATTTCACTATCCAAGGAACATAGTTTTTTCCCCTCTTCTACATAGGCTTGCAGACACTAATCCTCTGTATGGTTGGGTTCTTTTTTACAGGACAGGTGGTATTTATTTTATTACGTTGTTTACTCTTACATTAGTTGGTTGGAAGTGAAGTGAATGCGAGAAGTTATAACGAAATACATGGTTTCGTAGAGGAGATAGTTATTTTCTCATATAACACAGATGAATATCAATAAATTCATAACACCAAATTGACACCCACATTACCACACCAACATGAAAAAAGCCTCAAAGCAAATAAGGCTTAAAAGAATTGTGATGATTTAGAATAATTTCAGCAGTAATTGGGTGCTGCAGAGTTTACATGACTTATTGCTGCACATCATTGCTTATGTGCTGCAGAGTTTACTTAAATGTTTGAATACTCTTATGACTTTTTGAATTTTGCCTCGCAATTGCAAATGTTATTTTGAGTTACTAAATCATACCCCCTATGTCCCAAAATGGTTTGCAGTTTTTATCTTCTTTAACAGCACAGTCCCATTTTATTTGCTAATTTTGAGTATCATTTTTTTTAGCATATTAAGTATTGATTTTGCTATTATAGTATCTTTTTAAAGTTATACATATTACCAATGATGCTTACGCCTTGTAAGGCTAACCTGCTAAAGAAAAATGCCTTAAACCCATTTTATTTAGCCTTTTTAAAACCTTTGTGTATGGCATAAATGCATCATTTAAACTGTACCGTATATATTTATGCATTGTTTCTTACAATGATAATTAAGAGCACAATCTGCATTCTCATGTCTGGTGCTTGTTATACAGGTCTGGCAAATCTTACAGTTAAAGGTAAACAAATGCTTCCACACCCTTTTATCTGAATGAAGATTTCAATTATTCAATCTCATCACTAAGCGGCAAAAAGGGGGAAGATTTTTTCTTCTGGAATCAGCATTGTTGCTGTATTTACTTGCTGATTTCTTCTCTGATTTTTTAATACACTCCATAACAGACTGTGGAAAAGACGACCCGGATCTCAAGGATGAGATGGAGAAGCAGTATGTGGATTTACTATCAGAAGAGTTAAGGCTTCAGGAAGCTGTAGACCGAGAACGCATGCATCGCATGAACATTACAGTGACGGAGGCCAGAAGGTTAGCTTCCGAATACCAAAAGGAGGGCGAGAAGTGTAATATTGCCACTGAAACATGCGAGGTGAGAAGAGAGGGTGCTGAAGTTTTGCTCGCCAAGGAGAAGAAGCTGGCAGCTATGTGGGAGAAAAGAGCACGCCACTTGGGTTGGTCCGGGAATTAAATAGCTGTATTCAGTCTATAGAGTGCTGGTCCTTGTTTTATTTTTCTTATTATTGATATTGTTATTATTGTTCATGGGTATAATTATCTTAAAAGCTATTACCATTGTTGATGGGTATAATCATCTCAAAAGTTAGTCTGCTCAAGGAAACGGCTACAGCACTGAAGCCCAAGCAGATGGAGAACTGGAAGACCACAATTTGCAGTTCGTCCAGTTGTTGTGAAATGTTTTTCGTCTGTATCCTTAATTAATGAATATTCTGTAACATTAGACTTACTGATCTCCTTTGCTGGTGTATTAAAGAGTGTAATATTAATAGATAAATAGCCTACACCTGAAAATGTGTATTCGGCTTTCTACGTTCTGAAATACTGACTTTCCATAGCATGCAACCAATGTGTTACTTTCCTTGTTTCATCTATACAAAAACTCTTTAGTTTATTTTTCACTTGATAATGTTCATTTTTCTAGGAATCCCGCTCAAATTTGGACTATCATGATGGTGATAATGATTATTCTTGTTATAACATGATGGTGTTTATTTTTAGTTGTATGATACTTCAACTGTATGATTATAAGTTTTTTTTTGTAATTATCACGCTTTTATCAAGCACAACTAGAAAATCTACTTTATGCATCTGTAAGGTGAACATAAAAATTTGACTCAACCATCAGTTGAGATACAAATATCAGGTCGCACACTAAATTAGTTTAGGACATGGAAAAAATTATTGACAGTCCTATGTATCTGAAACACCACATAGGGGTGAAAATGTCTTGGGTTTTCCGGTGTGGAAATATGACACTATAAACTCATCATTTCTCTATTTTTCTTCATTCTAACGAGTGAACTTTGAAAATCAATTCCTCATTCACCTGTTATCCATTTTGAGTGTACCACATATCGAATTAAAGCCCTTGATCCAAGGAGAATCTAAAACTAATGCCCAAAATTGACCATTTAATGCAATTTTTAACACATTTTCCAACACCTTCTTAAGAAATGAAACTAGGATGAAACCACACTTCAAGGGCTATCCAAGGATGTCTCAACCACTCCAATTGGATGAGTGTAGCTCCATTATGGGAGAGACAATCTCCTCACCCAATTTGTGCGAAAATTGACATGGTATGGTAGCCCCCTTTGGATGTCATCTGTGTCTTGTGCAGTCCCCTTCAATTTTATCCGTCCAACCTACTCATCTCACTCAAGGAGGTATGGATCTCACTCCATTTGTTATGATAAAATAATGGCTAAAGGGTCAAATAGGTACATGAACTAACTTAAAGTGTTCAATTAGCCCCTTATATAGGAGGTTCTGCCCAGCCGTCACCAATTGGGGCGGTTCCCGGTGGAACTTTTTGATGAATTTTTTTGAACATCTTCTTCATTAAGTCTAGTTTACCCATACCAAATTTAAGCTAAAAATTCAACCGGGAAGGCAGTCAAATGATTTTTTGAAGATAACTGCGCAGTTAAACAACACAGTACATTTTGGAAAATCATTTGACTGCCTTCCCGATTTAATTTTTAGCTGAAATTTGATATGGGTAAACTAGACTTAATGAAGAAGGTGCTCAAAAAATTTCATCAAAAAATTCAACCGGTAACCGCCCCAATTGGCGACAGCCGGGCAGAACCTCCTATATAAGGTGTTAATTGAACACTTTAAGTTAGTTCATGTACCTATTTGACCCTTTACCCTAAAATAATACTCCCTCCGTCCCGCTAAGAACTTCTTACTTTGACCTACACACATATTTAGGAAATAAATTCGACTTTACTGTAGAATACATTGTTTCGACACTGTTTGGCACTGTTTGACACTGTTTTGCACTGTTTGACACTGTTTTGACGTAAGATAACTTTCCATTTAGGAAAATGAGAAGATAATTTTGGGACGGCTAAAAAAGGAAAGTAGGAAGTTCTTACGGGACGGAGGGAGTACTTGAGTAATCCACAACCAAAACAAAACAACAACCCAAACATAGAAGCTTCCTTCATCATTTAATGAACTTCCATCATTTTATATCTCAGGATATGGAAATAATTTAAAAAATATTAATTTGACAAGAATATTGAGAAGTTTTTGAAGGAACTTTATCATATTTTAACCCATATCACAAACCTCTCTTATACACATACGATAACTATTATTCATATTCCCGCGAAGGCGTGAATCCATTCTATATACTCACAACTTCACAAGTAATGCAACCACAAAATACGCTGATCGAGTACCCAAACTTTTTTATCTTTCAATGCGTATAGTAGTAACAAGGAGAATAATAAACCAAATAACCGGCACCATTTTATTTTGGGGCTCAAAAGATCATCATATTTACATTAGTGGCCCTTGTTGGCTTCCCTCCATTTTCAGATCATACTTCAAATCAAAACCCCTCCCCCAAATTCAGTCTCAGAAAAATGTACTGACCCACTTACAGTCTGATCCTAGATTAACTCTTTATGACCATAACCAAGAAATCAGTAGCCTTGGCCGTCGAGGGAAAGTGGATGAAGCCCGGAAAGTGTTTGATGAAATGCCTCATAGGGATGTCGTCTCGTATGCCTCAATGATTAGTATTTATGTTAAGAATAAGGAGCTTGTGAAGGCTGAGAATCTTTACTTTTCCATTCCGGAAAGGAATGTTGTGTCTGAGTCTGCAATGCTTGATGGTTATGCCAAGGCCGGGAGAATGGAGGAGGCTCGGCAAATCTTTGATGGAATGCCCAATAGGAATGTGTACTCTTGGACAAGTTTGGTCTCCGGTTATTTTCAAATTGGAAATGTAGATGAAGCTCGTAGGTTATTTGAGCAGATGCCAGAGAAAAGTGCAGTTTCGTGGACTGTAGCATTGACAGGCTTTGCAAGGAATGGACAAATCGATGAAGCACGTAGCAATTTTGATGAAATGCCCTGTAAAAATGTCATTGCTTGGACTGCCATGATCAGGGCTTATATTGAGAACTGCCAAGTTGATAGAGCGCTCGAACTCTTTAATATAATGCCAGCACGTAATTTACATTCATGGAACATTATGATTCAAGGCTGTTTGGATTATAATATGGTTGATGTGGCTGTGGAACTATTTAATAGAATGCCAAGAAGAAATGAGGTCTCTTGGACCACAATGGTAACTGGTCTAGCACACAACAGGCTGACTGATTTGGCAAGGATGTATTTTGATCAGATGCCGTATAAAGATGTGGCTGCCTGGAATGCTATGATCACTGTTTATTGTGCAGAAGGCCTGATGGACAAAGCTTCCGAGCTTTTTGAATTTATGCCAAATAAGAATCTTATTAGTTGGAATATGATGATTGATGGGTATGCCAAAAGTGGACCTGAGGGTGAAGCCTTAAAGCTTTTTCAATCTATGCTTCGATATGGACTAAGGCCAGACCAAACTACCATTACCAGTGTATTGACATCTTGCAGAAGTTGTCTTGAGTTATTACAGGTTCACCCACTGTCTTTGCTGCTAGGGTTAGAGCATGAGACATCCCTCACTAATGCCCTGATCACCATGTATTCTAGGAATGGAGATCTTACCTCTTCAATGATTTCTTTTGAAAACCTCAAAATGAAGGACATTGTCTCATGGACTGCAATGATACTCGCATATGCTTATCATGGTCTTGCTAATCAAGCATTTCAAACCTTTGCACGAATGCTGAAATCAGGAAAGAAGCCTGATGACATCACATTTGTGGGCGTCTTGTCAGCATGCAGCCATGCAGGTTTGGTGACGAAGGGTCAGAAGATTTTTGATGCCATGGTACATGCCTATGGACTAAAACCAAGAGCCGAGCACTATTGTTGCCTTGTTGACATTTTGGGGAGAGCTCAGCTCCTTGACAAGGCTGTATTGGTGGTCGCACATATCCCACCAGAAGAGCTTGATGGAGCTGTCCTAGGAGCTTTACTTGGTGCGTGCAAGTTGTATGGAGATGCTGCACTGGCAAGACAGATTGGGGACAAACTAATCGAGCTCGAGCCAGGTAGTTCGGGTGGCTATGTACTTTTGGCAAATGCATACGCTGCTTCTGGGAACTGGGACAGTTTTGCACAGGTGCGTAAGAAGATGAAACAGAGGGAAGTAAAAAAAGTGCCTGGGTTCAGTCAAATTGAAGTTAACGGTAAGTGTCATGTGTTTTGTGTGGGAGATAGGTCACATCCTGAAATGAGTGAGATTTATAAAGTGCTGCAAGAGAAGCTTCAGCCTTTGATGCAGGAAACATTTTTACTTTCAAGAGTTCAAGACCCTATCTTTAGTGATGTAATAGTATCAACAAGTTCGGTAAAAGACTTGGAGATCAACGTAGAGGTGGTCCACTAGTAGTTTATTATCTTAAATGCAAAAGTTTGTCAATATTTATATTCGATTAATCACAGTTTGTTTTCTCGAATATTACGTTTTTTATAATAAACATCCAACAATTATCAAAGAAAATTATATTCCAACATATTTGACCAGATCAACAAGCTCTCATTATCTTCATTTTATGATTTTTAGTGGGTCAGCAGTGAGGAAAAGTCCATTCATCCAATATTTACTAATCTACTAAAAACATAATGCACTTAGAAGAACTCTAAAATGAATATACACATATGGCAAGCATGACATGTTTGCTGGCTTCATGTTCCAAAATTGTTGAGGTGTCAAACGAAATGAGAAGAAACGGGTAACTTGTACTTTAAAAGTTTGTAAGATATTTGTACAGCTGCTGAAAAAATTACTCATAAATCTAAGAAAGTAGAGCTTTTTTATCACTCTCAGTCTGCTAGATGAAAGATGAAAGCTGATCCTGGCATCCTCCTTCCCTTGATTCTCTGCTTCCCACACAAACCATTGTCTTTCTCAAGACCCAAATGAGTGTGCATCAAATCCGAATCCAAACTCTCCATCAAATATGTCTCCATTTTGTTCCTGCACTATGGGAGGGTATATCAGAATGCAACTCTTGGAATGTCATTATTATTGCATATTACTACGTATTACTTAACTACTGCTTTCAAATGAGACTTTTTCTTTAACGCTACTATTAAATAAAAAGTCACTTTTATAATTTAAGACATTAAGTGTCAGCAATGCAATTACCAATAGTCAACTGGCATGTTTCCTCTTGGTAACTGTGCTGGTAAATGTTTATGGCCAATTGGTTGTTGATAACTGCATTACTAAAACTTTTGCCCTCAAACTAAAATCTAATTATTTTGTCCAAATGATTTAATTAGTAATATTTAATCATGTTTTTCTTTTAAAGTACCTTATTAAAATGTTACCATAAAGAACTGTGATAAGAACATTGTGGTATAAATAGTGATAAGGAAAAAGGGCATGTATTATTTTATACACCACCACTGCCCGCTCGCCTGCCCACCCAAACGAAATATACTGTGTCCACTACTACAGAAGCAAACAAGGATTTTACTTTCCCGTGTATATAGACTCGATGCTCATTTAACAATGATATTACTAACTTCTGCTACTACTAATTCATTTTTTTTCATAACACACAGACACATCAGCAGATTGCGCGGGGGGGGGGGGGGGGAGCCCCTCCATTTTAACTTATGTATTAGTTTGTATTATTTTTACACTATCCCCTATACTTTCCCTTTTATATATAGCTCAATGCTCATTTAAGAATGATATTTCCAGAGAATCTATACTTCTATAGTTGATGTACCCCCGCCCCAGTAGTACATCATTAAGCTCATACGATAGTTTAACAGCAATCGACTTGAAACTGTTTACACGTTATATGACATATCCATTTAAATGAGCTGTACAAACCATACTGTTTCAGATATATAAAGAGCACTCGCAAGAGACATGGCTGGGAGGAAGAAATACCTGCTTAATTATTGCATCCACTAAATCATCCCAAGATTCATAACTTTGAGAAGGATAAGAAACCTGTTCCTTTGACGAGTTCAAAAGGCTGTCCTCATTTGATCTCAACTTTGAGTCTTGAAAGAGAACTGGAGAGCCTCCATTTGTTGATTGACCAAATACAGAGGTGTCCATCTTTCTGACAAAGACATCATTATTCTGGTCAACGCTCTGGTTTATAATAAATGGCATAAAGTCGTCATTAGCAGGGACTGAGTTGCTAAGAACATCAATGGAGTTGTGATTATTTGCACGCTCTCCCCACAGCAGGCTAGGTACCTGATTACCAGTGAAACCTCCTTCATGATATGGTCTCTGTCCCCTTGAGTCTTCTTCAAAAGGCATAGAAGCTGAGGCAGTGGAAGAATAACTGAGAAGAGGGCTACCCTGTAAACGAGGGCCTGCTGAAGAGTAATTCCATCTCAATTGATTTCCACCGAGCTGCTTCGAAGCGCCTGTGCATAAAAGGTCAGACCTCAAAGAATGTGAGTTTCCTAACCCTCCCTTATTCTTTTCTTGATGGGAGTTCCCTTGAAGGATCGAAGCATTCATTGATCCAGAACCCGTGCATGTGCTGCTACTAACAGCAGATGTAACAAGCCTTGAGCTGCTGAAAGGATTCAGGTCCTGTACACTTGTGCTGAACTTACTGTGTTGCAATTGGTTAAGCTCTAGTGATGGAATTCCAAGAAATGAACCAATTGAGTTTTGGGGATTTGAGTTGAACTTTCCTAGGGGACCAAGGGTGGAGTTGCCCAAAGGTTGGAGGTGGTTCGGTTGGAGCAAACTGAGTGAGTTAAGGTTTTGAAGTCTCACACCAGCAGAAGTATTTAGCCTGCCAAGCAGGCTGCTTGGTGTGTATGAAGACGATGATGATATAGCAGCAGCATGATTATATCTTCCAGGTCCAGTCAGCACTCCAAAATCTCCAAACCCATCCAATGAACTCATACGCGTATTATAAGAAGAATCCTTTCCTCCAAAAGAAGCTGCCATGTTGGCATACGGACTCGGAACCAGACTGATTCTTTTCAAGTATATCCTGTATTTCTGTAAATACACACATATATGTTCAAACTATACTGCCTTATTGGTTACTCCATATAATTTCTTCTGTGAAACTCTTAGTGCTTACTTTAAATGATAGGCCGTGGTCCATTAATGCCAAGAAACAAATTTATATGTAGCAAATATAGTAACAAAAAAAGATACTGAAAATAAGCAAGTGAAATTGGTACCTGGAGATGGCTTGCCACGTTTTCACGGGTAAGCCCTTCAACATTCATCAGTTCAAGAATTCTTTTTGGTACAGCTTCTACATTAAGAAAAAACAGATAAGGAGGATAATAGTTGAAATGAGTTAGTACTACTGGGAGAGAGTATAGGACAATAACAACAACAAAAACACTAATAATAAAAGAAAATTGTTGATATAGTCTTGTAACTTATTACTTATGTTTGTGCCACATTAAGAATGTTTCCTCCAGAATGTACTATTTCCTGTGGAAAGTGAATGTCTTTAATGTTTGGTGCACTCAGGTGGATGTCTTTAATGTAGGCACAACCTTATGTGCAAGTAGTGAAGTTATAGGACTACTGATGAATACATGCACAAATTAGAGGACTATATCAACAAATTTCCCTCATAGTAATAAGCATGATTATTTATGAAGATCAACCGTAACTCACTTTCAATGCCTAATTGGTTCACGGCTGCAACAAACTTCCTGTGAAGTTCAATACACCAAACAACCCTAGCCTTCTTCTGCTTTGAGTCCTCATCTCCATTATCATCACTCTCATCCTCTTCTTGGTCTTCCCTTCTTCTCTTATTATTATTATGATTATGATTATCAATTCTTTCATTGTGGTCAGCAGCAGCAGCACAAGCGGATAGTTGGTCGTCCCCAAGTCCACTTTCCTGATCACTTCCACAATGAGGATCACCACCAGACTTGCAATTATGGGTTTTGGAGGAATCAAACTTCTTTCTTCTGATTACATGTTGCCAAATATTCCTTAGCTCCTCAATCCGCACTGGCTTCACCAAGTAGTCACAAGCCCCGTGACTAACTCCCTTCATCACTTGTCTGGTGTCACCATTTGCTGACAACACTAGTGCCCAGCCGGATTATTGAATTAATAATCTTCATGAATCTCATTTAAAAAAACATTTGTTGTATATTCTATAATAATAAAGGTCCATATTTCATGACCCGGTATATATGATAAGATTGAGGAGTTGTGGTTCTTACTAATGACAGGAAGATCCATCTCAAGACCAATAAGCTCTAGCAGTTTAAAACCATCCATATCAGGCATGTGGACATCGCTGATAACCAGGTCAAATTTGTCTTTGTTTTCTCTCAACATCTTCAGTGCCACTCTTGCTTGATTTGTTACTGTTACTGCATGTCAAAAGAATTACTGCTTCATATACATACATATATGTGTATGTATTTTCACGCATATATATTATATATACCTTGATACTTTCTCAAAAATCTGTCATTGGACGTGGGATGCCTTAACATAGACACCACCTCATTAGAAATACTGATCTGTTTTTTATAACATAGACAAGTACACACCCTCCCTTTACATACCTTTAGAGTGATCATTCAACCTTGAAATATAACCAAATTTCCCTTGCACTTTATAGGGGCAGTAAGGTTTGTAAAGTTTACAGTGGCGCGTTTATGAGTATTTCTATATATATATATATTTTCCATACTACGGAGTATTTAGTTGCAATAGTTTGACCTGCACACGACTTTGACTATTAATATTAATTAATATTAATGAGAATATTGATGGTAATATAATAAAAAATTCTTACTTTGAAAATTCATTTTGAGACATTAATTTTTTTGGATAAAATTATTTTTATTAGATTAATAAATAAAATGTTATCAAAGTCAAATTGTTGCAGCTAATTAAGAATGGTCGTCAGGCATAGTATCTATATTGTTCATCTTTCATTGTTTTCTCCTGTTTAAATGATTTTCCATTACTCTTACAAGTGCTGTGCTGATTTGAGGTTGCATCAATAAAATCATTTTAAATATATGTATATATATAGAGAACATTGAACGACATCAGCAATCAAAAAAGTTGTAATTAACAAGATTTGAACTGTTACAGATTTATTCACTTCACAATTCAGAAGAACTTCAGAGAACCAGATTTAAGAAGAGATAAAAGGCCATTTACATACCATGATACTGGCATTTCATAAGCATGTGTTCCAGCAACTTCAAGCAAATTGGGTCATCATCAACAGCAAGAATACGCATACCCACTGGGAAATCGTCAAAGTCTTCCTCCCCAACGCTGCTACTGACTCCAACTCCAGCAGTCATTTTGCAGTTCAGAAACCCCTGGATTTTATTCAAAAACACAGAAAGGAATTCAGGAACAGCTACTAAAGTCTATCTAGAAAACCCAGTCTCATGTTCCCAAGGAAAAGCCCATAATCATGTGGATGATGAATTCAAAAATATTTGAGACCATAAAAAGATGGGATCAATCATAGGTATTAAATGCCTAGGCGTTGGTTTTTTTGTTTTGCTTCTGTTTCTGTTTCAGTGAAGGCTTTTATTTTGGAATGACGAGGACATAATAGTCGTAGAATGTTTTTCCAAAACAGCAGAAACTACTGTTTTTAGTCACTGGTGTATTTAATTCAGTGCCTGGCCTTTTTGCCTATTTTAAAATGGGAAAAAATACCCATTCAACACAGAAATGCTGTCCAGCAATCGTACTTTACTTTTACATGCGTTACACTGTTAAACTGTTTGTTATGTGGAAGAGAAAAGTGACACACGAGTACGTAGGATATTACCTAATCTGTTTGTATAATTTTTTATTCCATGATTCATTTATTTTAATTCTTTATCAGCCTAGCACGCTATGATGAATCCAAAAAGGAAGGCTACGGTTTCATAGGGAAGATCTTTATTCCGTGTTCCTTCCATATATGTGATACGGTTCCTGTATTTATTTCAAATTCCCCTTATTATTATCATACATACAGATAGAGGAATTACTTCTTCCCTCTCTCATAACTATGTTAAGTTTGATCAGTATGGAAAATAAAAGTAGAAACTGTGTGGTTAATGTTTGCATTAAGGAAAGAAAAATAATAAAACTCCTACTTAATTGATTAAAAGAGACAGTGATAATTTTTTGGACAATATAGAAAGAAAAGATAACAAAATTTTATAGGAGGGAGTATTGTTTACTTCATCCAATTTGCAAGAAATGTATGTAGACAGATGTTAAGACAAAATCTCACTTATTTGATGACTAAGCATCTGTGAAGCTTTCAAGTTCTTACAATTGATGTTTTCTTTTATTTTGAAAATTCGGAAACTTTAAATTCTCGTTTGGGCCTTTTGTGAGTTTAAAAAAACTTCGAAACTCTTTTCCCTAAATAATTAGCTTTTTAGAAACTTTAAGTAGTCACAAAGACACTTGTTATATTACTTATATACTTATTTAAATACAATTGCAACAAGGAAGTGAGTCATCTCGACATTGTTTATTTCAAATTTCAAACGACTTAAACAAACAAAACATTGATTTCGTACAATACAATGGTAGATATAGAGCCCTATTGAAAATGAAAATGGTACATAACATTTGATTTTTTTAAAATGAACACTATACTTATTCATTCTTGGTGTGGATGAGTGTTGGATATTTATGAAAATGTTTGCAAGTGCACCATAATTATTGCTTTCTTGTTTTATCAAACATAAAAGCTTCTCACAGTGAAAACATTATGCATAGAAAATGTTTGTCACATTCTTATTGAAATAGTATTGAGTTAAAATTGCAATAGGGATAATGGAGGAGGCTTCCATGAATAATGAAGGATATTAAATAGAATTTGGGAGTGTGTAGATATAAATATGCAATGTTAAGAAATATCAAAGAATATGAGATTATAAAAGAGATGGTATAAATTAATGAAAATTACAGAATTACCAGCGAATGAAGATGAGGTGCAAATGTTGGATTATTCATGAATAATGATAAGGTGAGATTATTGTACGAAGACCGCTAAAAGATTGGATTATTAATTTTCATTTTCCCTTAATGTTTTTGCTTATTGAATGTTTACAAAAGTTTGATCAGTAACATTTTTAGCGTTCCTCAATTGCTTGGATCACTAATTTGTAATTACAATCTATAAACACAAATATGTAATAAAATATCTATATATCTAATGACAATTACTTTTGTTAGTACGAAGTGATCCCAACTTTGTCGATCTTTGTGTTCAGAAAAATCCATCCCAAATTTTTAACATTTGTAAATCCAAGATGTTCAAACTATTCATTAGATTCTCACTGTCATCTAATGATATAGTTAAACATATAACATATGTATGTATCTCGTCCAATAATTTTATCAAACGGGCTCTTCCAATTCGAGGAGGCGGAGGTTAGTAATAATGTATTTTAGAATATGATTTTCTCCTTGTCCACCTCTAAACACGGACTTTTCTCCTTGACATCTCATCAATGAGACTAAAGGGTTATTGACAATAGATTCCATTATACACTATCTTACGGAGTTACGATTAAGCACGTAAAGTAAAAATATGATTTTCATAAATACGATGGAAAAGTGGGCTTAGTAAAAAATTTATTTTTTGACACCGGGCTTAGTAAAAAGTTGAATTAACAAAGATGCACCTAGATACCTAGTCGTATAGTTTTAATTTGATTTAATGACCAAATCAAATGATTCAAATCGTACCGATAACTTGTTTAATGACCAAACCAAAAGTTAGTGAAAGTCATGAAGTAGATTAGCAAATCGAAACTTATGGCATAGTTAAATAATCATCCAATTAGTTTCAATATTTTCCATTTCAAAAAACAAATTAAAAGTAATTGATGTATAAGTATAACAGTACTGTATAACCCTAAAAACTATTCAAAACAAAGAGTCCCTTTGGTAATAGCCAAATCGGCTGTATTAGTTGGTTCTGTTGAAATTTATAAAGTTCTGGTCGATGTGGTTCTATTGGTTGATTTTGCTGATTTGTGAAAAATAATAATTTAAAATACATTTTATTAAAAAAAATAAAGAAAAAATTATATGAAAAAATAGCTAAAATGGCCCCCTACAGTAACTTCAACCAATACAGTCAGAAAGATAACTTCAACATTACTTTTTCTTATTATCACACAACTGAGCCCTTAAAACCAAAATTTACGTTTTTAGTGAAAAAATTGATTTATAAGCCTGAAAAGCCAAAAATCATGGCTACCAAACGGGCACCGAAAATCTTCTAACCATTTTATAGAAACATACTCTCGAATTTTTGAAGACGTGTATGAGAGTATGAGACTACCCACATAAAACTAGTACAAAATACCTACTACAAGTAGTATATACGTACTACGTATTAGGGGAATAGGGACCAACAAACCGAAAAGTCATTGGAAATTGTGCCTGAATATACGGAGGAGTATTTTTGAACGAGTGCTATTGTGTATAGTATTCGTATAAACTACTCCATACAAAGTTACTCCTTCCAATTTTTGTCAACTTTTCTTTTCTATTTTTTCATACGGAGTACTAATTTTGTTATTTTCCTTTTCAAATAAAAAGAATATATGATTTTTAATACTCTCTCAGTCTCATTTTACTAATCTTACTTTCTTTTTTTTTATTATTCCAAAATAAGTCACATTTCTTTTTTGTGAAAGAAATATGTAATCCACTACATTTCAATTTATTGTACTCAAATATCTACAACTTTTATTTTTTAAACCACTATTAATAATTGTTTCAATAAAAAATAAGACACATAAAATTCTCTTTTTTTTGTAGAATTTCAATCATATCTTTACTTTATTACGGAGTATTTTATGTGCCAATCACCCAATCATTGGCAAAAAATTTAGAGATGAAGGAATATTAGAGAAACTTTTATACTCCGTAGTTTTATTTTATCATGATTTAAATTAGTTCTAGGTGTTTAGTGAAAAATCAGAAGAAAAAAAAAATTATTTGTGAATTGTGACATAGACAGTTCAGCTTAAAAATTGATGTTTTTATCTATACACAAGGGTGTGTACAATAGACATTTAGACAGTGGACTCATGGACATTGGATGGACTAATGAATAGTGTTTCCAAATGGGGGGTGGGTGAGAAACAACAATGCATATATACACAAGCAAGAAAAGGAAAAATCAATTGAGTTATGGACAGAAACTGTCAGTGATGCAAGATCTGTATGTACTTAAATAGCCCTCGCCATTCCTAGCTTCTCAATGAGTTAGATCAAAGCCTAATCAGAAGAAGGTTTCCAGAAGTTAAAATGCCATTTCTTCTGGCCTCAAACAATAACCATCACACGAGCAAAGATCTGGATCAATGCTGATATCTATAAAACAGCCCAAAGAAGCTAGCTTCAATGGCAACTCAAGATTGGATGCAAACCCTAAGTGTATAGAACTGTGACATTCTATCCTTTCAGTCATCTTTTTCCAAACCCTAAGCATCTGTTGTTTTTGGAGTCAGTTAGACTAGGGGCTTGAGTTAGGCGTGGTTTACTTTGTTTGGTGAAGGAGTGCTTCTCCATTGCATTTAAGAATTTGCGCAAGTGCCGGATGTACTCCGGGTATGTCTCCAAGTTGCAATGCCCTCCGCCCTCCACCCACAACGGATCATATTTCTCTTCCGAGAGCTCCCATAAGCGCTTTCCGTGGGAGAAGTCAACAATGTCATCAGCTGTTCCCTGCAAAGCTGCTCTTATCAGGATCTTTTAGTTAGCTGGTGCATATGAGTTTCTTTTGTGTAGCATACCGTTAATAATCATATGCACTAGGGTTGAACAAAAAACAGACTAATCGAAACCGCGACATGAAAAACGACCAAAGCATAGGCTGTTTGGTTTCCAATATAAGGGTTATGCTTTGAACCAAAATCGGAAAAACAGAACAAAACAAACACAAGCTGACTGAAAATAACCAAAACCGGCTAAAGTTATGAGGTTTAGTTTTCCTTTTTGCATTTTACATAACCGAGCAACAAAAAAGAGAGCTGACCAAATAAAGAAAAACACCCCTAAAATATGCTGAAATGAGAGTAAAGCAGTAATCTAATTCTTTTAACTCTGAGCCTCCCACCGAGCACAATAATTTTGGCTGCGCTACCGACTATAATATGTCATAGTAATCAGATATGTTAAGGTGCTAAGGAAAAACAATTCAGCATATGAACCAAGTCTTTTCAAATAATTGCCAGCAGCAACCTTAGAGTAATTTCAGATAAGAAATAGCATCGGGCCAGCAAGGGAAGGGTAAAAATTACTAAATTATTAGGCAAGCCATGGTGTACCTGGCTTACAAGATTATTATGCTATTGCATATTTACTCACAACTGCAGTTAAGATTCACTATAAAGATTTTGGATATGAAAAATCTGGGATGAGTTCTTACATGGATAACCAAAACTGGGCAGTTGACTTGCCGGATTTTGTCTATATTCTGAAAAGAAAAATGCAGCATTCCAAAAAGTCAAAAACAAAGAAAAATAATGTTTCAAAGGTCAAAAAGAAGATATCAATATGAAGGGATTAACTAACTTTAAAAATGTCAAACCGGAATGTCATCTTGACAGGATACAGAACACGTATTCC